TTCCTCCCACCGTCCAAAGACATGCAGCTTGTGGGGATAGGTTAATTGGATAATCCAAAATTGTCACTAGGTATGAATGTGAGCGCGAATGGTTGTCTGTCCCTGTGTGTTGGCCCTGCGACAGACTGGCGACATGTCCAGGGTGTACCCTGCCTCTCGCCCTATGACAGCTGGGATAGGCTCCCTATCCCAGCTGTCACCCTGAAAAGGATAAGCGGAAGCGAATGGATGGATGGATGGATGTACTAAAGTACCAAATCTGAGGAATCTACCTGGTTGGTTGGCAACAGGCAGGGTTTGAAGATAAGCTCAATTTAGAAAGCAAACAAACAAAAGAACAAAAATGCAGGCATGTTTGTTTTTTTAAAAAGTATTGTATTTCTGTTCACACATGTGTGCAGTGTTGGTTTAGCATAACGATTATGATCGACTCAGTGCTTTTATTTGGTTGACTTCCATTTGCAAACATTTCTGTCTTCTCAGGGTTTCTGAAAAGTTATGTAAGCATGAATCTTGTTAATGGATTCTTATTGCAATGGAAATATCGCTGTATTGTATACAGCTAACTCTGTGTTGCAAAAAAGCACAGCAGAGACCTGTATTTGCGAGCAGGATATGAACTTAGTGAGGTTAATTTAGGTTAAACTCTGGTTTTCAGTGTTCCAAAGGTACTTCACTCTCTGCCATGGTAACTTTGACGTAAATCTTGCCAATAATTTTCTTTTCATATGAACATGCCCTTAGCTCATAGGGTGACTGGAAAATTCTACTAGTAGTTCTACACAAGCCCAGGGGAAGAAGAGGTCGGTTTGTGAGTCTAGAGGTGTGGGACAATCCAGATATTTGCCTGAAAAAGAAAACACAGAATTTTCCATCATTTCATAAAAACGAATAAAAAATCTGGAACATGTTACTCAAAACAATTAAAAACAATTAATTCCAGGAATGCATATCAAAATATAGGCTCACCAACAGTAGATTTCTTAAATATCAGCAAATGATGAACAGCATGGAGAAAAGATTGAATCCCTGGCAACTGAACTCAGAAATGCCCGCACAGGTAACAGAATTTTTAAATTGTTGAACCCCTAAATTATTAGCAACTTAAAGAAAGTCTAGTCACCTTCATTCCAAACTCCTTAGGCTATTTATAGAAATAATGATGGACATGAATAAATAAACAGATAAAAGAAAAACACAAACAAGAGAAGCATATAGACAATTTATGGAGCTCATCTTGGAAAAACAAATATGTTTGGCACAATAATGCAAACCAGACATCACAAACTGCCAGGGTTTAAAAACAACATCCGATTTCAGATTAGCTAATGACAAGTCAACTACATTGCTGTAGTAAATATTAACATAGCCGTACATGTTGAATTACTATTAAGTCCAAGTTAAGAGACATATATGTCATGTTAAGTTGTGTGTGGCAGGCAGAGTTGCAAACGTCTATGCAGACTCACAGCAAATTACTGTAAATTACAGTTACAGCAACTTTCATGTAAATGCAAGTGAGGCAGGATATTTTTACTGCAAATGTATTTACACGATATTATCACAATGTGGGCAATCAAAACAATATGTGAAACATAACTTTACCCCACCAAGTAGCAATGGTACAGTACACATTAAAAGTGATTCAGAAACTGTAGCTTAAGATAAAGCACAGAATCAGTGACGTCTTTACTGGTCCCTGAATAGGACACGCAAAGAATTCCCAAAAGCTCAGTGATCCGAACCTGTAAAATCGATGTACCTGCAAATCAAAAGGATGGTGCAACAAGCACAGATGCTGGACGAAACAGATGCTGCTTTACTGTGTCGTGGTCCTGAGTCTGCCGACTCAGTGTTTTGTGTTTCTTTATGCTTTTGTTTATCCTGAGTATGTATTCTGTCATGATTTAGTTAGTTCAGTGTCTTGTCTGGTTCTGTGTCTGAGTTTCCTGTTTTATTCTGAAGGTCTCCGTCTCGTGTGAGTGTGTTCAGTACGTTTCCCCTGTCCCGTCAGCTCTGACTTCTTGCCCTCCTGTCTCTCATCCCCTGATTACTGCTGTGTGTATTTAAGCCCTGTGTGTTCTCCTGCCTGTTGCCGGTTTGTCTGTGTTCCCCAGTGTCCTGGTCCTCGTCTGCCTCTCTCCCCGTTTTGTATGTTCTCAGGTTTGTTATTTAGTTCTTCCAGTTTAGGTTTCTTTAGTTCCCTGTCATCCCTCACTGCCTGTTTGCCACTACACCACCCTGTAAATAAACATCACTCTAATCATCAGTCATTGCCTGCATTTTGGGTCCTCCTTTCCTCCAACACCACACGGCTCGCCTTGCCGTGACATACTGGCTATTAAAATTGCTTTGGTTCTCCTATTATCGACTGATTAAACCAATGACTGTAGAAAATACATTTAGACAGTCATTGGATTGAACTATATCAACGTTTACTTTAAGGCACAATGCTCAACGACACCTTGGTTAAGTCCCTTATCAAAACGGAGGATGGACACTTGAAATTGTAGCCTGCTAGAAAAGTTATGATAAGGGGCCCTTGCAGACAGTGAGACATTGTAATGAAAACTTAAAACCCCCACATTAATGCAGTGCGAGCTCAGTTGAATTATTCAGCAGTCTCCCATTGAAAATGCTACGTCCACATGAACAGAATCAATGTTTGGAGATTCAGTAGAGTTCAGCAGTTTCGTGCTTCTGCAGCCATGATGATAACCAGCACAACTGGGGAGGACACTGAGCCGATGAGCCAGTGCAGAGGAGGAGCCCTCATTTACCTTTGAAAGTAAAGAGAGGCGTCAGCTTGTGCAGCTAGTTTTAAAGCTTGACTGTACTGAAAATAACAAAACAAATAGGATGGAAATGATCTGAGGACGATGTCAACTTTCCTCACGCGTCCTCGAGTTTATTGATCCAGTGTCTCTCCTGTTTGCAAAGTTATTTTTGAATAGAAAAGTGACTTGAAAGTGTGTATTTGCCAAAAACTGGATAAATGAATAAATCAAAAGATGTAGACCAAAAACAGATGTCCATTTATCCAGTTTTTGGCAAATACACACTTTCAAGTCACTTTTCTATTCAAAAATAACTTATCTAAAGTGAGCTCAAACGGGGACATCTGTGCCTTTCCAATGAAACCTCATGTCCAAATAGGCAGGACATCACAAAAAACGTTAAACTAGAAGATACTTGTTTGCTTGGTTCTCAGGAGGATATGTGAAATATATGTCAAATGTATCCCTCGTGAATGATATCAAATGATCTTGAGCCACAAACAACTTTGTCATAAGGTAGAAGCAGCAACCAGTTTTTTTGGCACGGACTTTCATATGTTCTTTATTTACTCCGTTAAAATAAATGTCGTTCACATTAAAAATGTCTTTTTAAAGAGTAACCTGGCCAAGAGCACAAATATAACAATATAAAACATAACAATAGTTCTGTAAACATGTTTTAAGTGGCCAAAAAAGATCGGATTGGTTAAAGTGTAAGTACAATAAACACAG